CGAGAATATAGTATTCTATGGTATTGCAACTTTTTTTTATGGAAGGGGCCCCCGAAATTGCTTTGCCCCAGGCCCACTGAATCCTCTGGGCAGCCCTGGTGCGACTTACATATGCATGGCTTAGAGCCTGGGCTCCAGCCATACATAGTATGACAAAGGAGAGATAAATATGGGACTTGAGAGCTTGCTGGATGAAAGCCACTTCAAAAATATAGAGTGGGATTTTCAAAAGTACCAGAGCGATTTAGAAGCACAAGTCCCATTTGTCTACCAGTGGAACTAGTGCTCCTAAATCCTTAGAAGCTTGTGAAAACCTCACCATTAAATTATAGCCACTGTATTTTTGGCCCAAAAATATGTAGCAAAATCTGCAGATTAGTCCAAAAAAGATGACTTTCTATTTATTTTATCTATTCAGATTAAACGTAGTCACGCTCTAGTATTTTACTATCCATTCTAAGTGCTCTTTTATCAATCTGAAAGAATATTATGTAGAGAAATAAGAAGAAAAGTTCATAGATTGCCCTCTTTTTCTGGAATATAGCTTGAATAATTTTATAATACGCTATTCTCTCAGCTATATTTCGAGTCCACTCTGTTGCAGAGATAATTAAGGAAAGTTATCATTGCACTAGCACCATATAGAGGTATTCTGGCCAAAAATAATATGCAGAAAAATCCAACCAAAGTATGCATTATTCTGCGCCAAATCTGCTTTGTCGTTATCTTCAACGTATTTACCCCCCACACACACACACACACGCACATACACACACTTCTAGTTTCCAACATAACTCTGCATATGAGAGAGTCGGTGTCCTGACTTGTGTAGTTGTATCATTGCACCATCTAGTGGAATAGGGAGTGTATAATGTATATGCCTTGGATCGGGACACGAAACTGTGCTGATTTATACCTGCTGAGGATCAGGCCCACAGTGTACAGAAGTGAAGTCTAGATAGCTAGTGAACTGTTGGAGGGATTTGGGGGGTTTTATTCTATTTTTGGGTTTTAGCATTTAACTCTATAGTTCCCTTGGTCTCTGAATACACTTCTGTCAATGCATTTAGGTTTCCATGTGAGAGAACATTTCAACTCCTGTTGTTAAATTTTTCACTTAATTTTAACATATAGTGTGAGGAACGAGGGAAGGAAATGAGTTGTCTCTTCCATCTAATATTATAGACTTAATTTTATTTTTCCCTTCAGTAATACACATCCCCAGAGATGGAAAATTTTAAGTGAACACCTTTGGAAGGTTAATCCAGGTGGGGTGGGTGGGTGGAGAATGGAAAGGTAAAAGGGGGTGGGTAGAGAGGGTAATTAAGTAATGTAAGAAACGGTGGAACAAGAACTCTGCAAAGAATTTTTTCTGAGTTTTTCAATGTCTCTTAGTGATTTTGGGGTACCAAACTTGAGACATTTTTACATGGATCTGCTTCTCAGCCCCAGGTTTTGAAAATGAGAACTCTTTTGATGTCTCAAGCTGATTGCTCCATATCACTCTTGTAGAGTATCTCGGCCTTCACATTTTTAGATGAAAGTGGGTAAGACTGAAATGTTTTGAACGGGAGTGTCTTACTGGAATCATTTTTTTTTTTTCTTTTTACAAGTTAAGCCGAGATTGGCAACATTTCCATAATATCTTTTATTTACTTATATTTTTCCAAATTGCCCTAATTTTATCACTTCCCAGATAATTATATGCCTGGTCACTAATGTGTTTTATTTAAGGTGTCTTGAGTGGCAGTAAAAAAAATAGGTAAAACTATGCCAGGGATATTCCTGAGGGAATTCCGCACCAAAAAATCATGCGCACATTATTTAAAAATTCTGCAAATTTTATTTGTCAATAAATAAATGTGGCTCCAGCATGGCAGTGGGGAGCACAGGCCACTGGCTGCATTGAGATGGGAGATCACCCTGAAGCCCCCACCTCCCCTGGTACAGAGACTCGGCAGTGAGGCTGCACCTGACCCCGACACAGTGCAAGGGCTGGGCCTGCCCCAGAAACACCCCGGGACCCTGCCCCTCTGCACCAGATGTGGGTGGACAGGCTCAGCCCAGCAGGATCCAAGAATGGAGGTGCTCAGTGTGAGGGGATCCAGGTGTGGGGTGAGAGGTTTCTGTGTGGGGCAATCTGGGTGCAGATGGCTCAGTGGGAGATCTGGATACACAGGGGCTCATTCCAGGGGTCTGGGTGCAGGGTCAATGGGACTCTCCAGGGGATCCAGGTGAAGGTGGTTGGGGCTCAGCGCGGGAGTCTGGGTGGGGGGGTGTAGTGGGTGGGGGGTCCAGGTGCTGGGAGAGTGGGGCTTGATTTGGGTGGGTCCAAGTGCAGCTGGTTGGGGATCAATGGGGTGGGGGTCAGGGTGTTGGGGGCTTGTCAGAGGGCTCCAGGTGTAGGGGGGTAGGCCTGTGTTCTGTTCCTGGTTCTGCCAATGAAATCGGGTATCTCTTCACTAAGCAAAAATGTGTGTCCTTAGTTCTTTATGTCGAGTTAACTAACACAAGGTAAACTCCTAGTGAAGCCAATGCAGTTTTTAGTCTTCACCCATGTTAGCAAGTTGAGTTAGACTATGGGGGAGCCTAGGATTTACCTTGACCTGCTAACTTGTGTGAAAACTATAGGTTACCTTGGAGACACTAAGGTTTTACCTTGTGTTAGTTAACTTGAGCAAGTGAATTCAAAAAGTTAAGGACACACCTTGTTTGTCTCCCTGTGAAGACAAGTCCATCATGGCTAAATCACTCTATCTCCCTATGCCTCAGTGTCTCCGTTGGTAAAATGGGATTTATAAAACTTTATAAAGGAAAAGTGCTTTTCCATGGTGCTATATGAGCCAAGTCTTTAGAAAGATTGTACACTTGAACAAAACTCTGTGCACCAAATTACTTTCCCTGTGAAAAGCATGCCTTGTTTCTCAAGGACGGCATTCAGTTGCTAAACGAGTGCCATATAGTGGGTGTCTATTAATACTTGTATAATAACTAATATTTACTATTTGATTTGGGGTGATATGACATTGACTTTACATTGCAAGTTTGTGTACCCTTGTAATGCATCCATCTGGAGGGAGAGGTAGTTCCTTGCTTTGCTTGAGTGGCAGGTAGCAGCACCAATCATGTTGCATATAGCACTGTGCCGTCATTACTTGCAGTCCTGCCTTGTCGTCTTCCCAGTTTTCTCTGCTTCACTGGGAAGCAGTTGCACACTACTCCTCGTGCTGCTTCTTCTCAACGTCTGTGATGTTAACCAGAATGGACCAGCAAGACAAGAAAGGCAAGAAGTGTTTCCATTGTGATCATCCTTCGCAAGCTACTTTTATGGGTCCAGTTTGTCTCTGTTGTCCAGGAACCTCTGAGCCATTCAGCAATCCGGGACTCTGCTTCTCAATGCCGGTCAGCTGCTCTTTTGAAGGAGTTATTTCAGCAGCACAGAAGTCTGCATGGGAGGTAGGAAATTCTGCTCCTATTCCTCCCTCTGCTCCAAGATTATCTGTGGAAGATGTGACCTTGCCTCCCCCTTTTTTTTGCCAGACCGTGCCTCTCTTATCACTAAGGCATTTGTGAAGGCAAGGGCTCCTTCTGCTTCCCAGGCACTCCCTGTCAAGATTAGCAGACCAATGACTTTACATAGAGCTTTCACAGCTCCACCCTGCACAAAAGCAGTTCCTTTTACTTCAGCTCCTAGAGCTCCAAAGAAAGCGAAGATGGATTTCAGAGAGTATAGAAGATTATCAGCCAAAGGGAATTCAGTGCAAGCAATGTCCCTGATTCCTTTCATAAGTGACTCCTTTGAGGAAGGGGAAGTGATGTCCTCTGAGCCTGAGGAAGGGCCATATGAACCACATTCATCCAGCAAATCCCTGATAGAAGTAAAGGGGAGATCCTCTACCAAGGTTACCCAAGTCTCCTCTGACTTCATTGAGGAAGGAGAAGTGGTGTCCTCCGAGCCTGAGGAAACAACTGGTGAAACAGACTCATCTCGAAGATTCCTGATTGAGGATCTACCCTATCTGTGCAAATATTTTATGAAGCAACTCAGGCTAAAACGTTATACCTCACGAAGTGGCTCAAGGAAATTGCCCCATCTTGTGGAGGAGAAGCCAGATGATACCATTCCCCTTCACCCATCCATCAATGCCTTAATTAAAAACATCTGGCAGGCTCCAGATGCTCAGTTTATATTACCTACTCATCTGACTAAGCTTTACAAACTTCCAGCTGGGAAAGGTAACCTGTGGGCCTCTGCACCAAGAGTTGATTCTGCAATAGCATCTCTCTTCACCAAATCTTCACGTCCTGTTGAGGGAGAAACTGTTCTCATGGACCCTTTAGAACGTAAGGTAGATGAGGCTCTTAAGAGTGCCTATGAATTTGCTACTATCCAGCTTTCAGTCTCCATTTACTCCCTGTATGCAGCTAGGTCACTGGTGGAATGGCTAAGGAAATTATTGCCCCACTCTAAGAGACCTGTTTCTAGGTCATCTCGCAAGGTGTGCACCCTTTGTGATCTGGCATCCCGCTATCTTCATGATGCAGCCCAGGATTCCCTCCACCTGGCTGCCCATAACATAGCAACTCTCACAGTGGCTAGGAGAGCCCTTTGGCTCCGTCCCTTAACAGGTGGCGAACTTTCAGCCAAACTCAAACTTGTTGGCCTTCCTTATGAAGGGGGTCATCTCTTCGGGGAAACCTTAGACCAGGCCTTAAAGGATCTTTCAAAGAGTACAGTTATGCCAGGAGATCAAGAAAAACCTCAGGCCTCTAACTCCTCCCGTGCCTCCAACAGGCTTTACAAGGGTGTCAGGTATCCTCTCTCCTCATATAGACCTGGCAGGTATAGATACAGGTATCCGGTAAACCAGTCCGTTCACTTCTCTGGCTACAGGGGAAGAGGTCGGACCAACAAATACCAGCCTCACCAAGAATTCTGACTCTCTTTCCCCTCAACAGAGGGTGGCAACAAGGAGGAAGCTTTTGGTTTGTCTCAATCAATGGAAAGAAGCAGTCTCCAACAGCAGGCTTTTCTCCTTTATTTTCTGAGACCCTCTAGGTCAAGAACTTCCACCTCTCCCTTATATTTTCCTCTCCTTGCTGCCCCAAATCCTGGGGAAAAGAGACATATTCCTGCTCACTGTGCATCACCTGCAAAACATTCACATCCTCATTCCATTCCACTCAGAGAAGAAGTTCACAAGCATCTAATTTGTTTATTTAGAAGTCCGCACGGAATCTGGGAGCAACCTTCACATCCTGAAATGGGTAAATCACTTTGTCTCCAAAAAGAGTTCCAAACTAGAATCCACATGAACTGTGGCTCACCAAGATTCTTATCTCCACATGCCATCCACTTCCTAACTGTGGCAATTTTGCCTGGGGAATTATCGCCTGCAGTAATGGACTCCTTCTTTCACCTTTGCCTTGGTCCCAGGTCTCTCTGGCAAGATGAAGAGTGTCTTCACAGCCCACCTGAGAACAGGTGGTGGGGAGCTGTTGATACATCACTTGGAAAGTTGTTTGCTTCAGGGCCCCTTCTTACCAGTGGCTTGGGGAGTTCCAACTGTGAAGATATTAAAATATCTCATTCTGGAGGTGAACAAGTCCAAAAGTCTGCTGTCTCCTACTCAACATATGACTTTGGGTGCCTATTTCCTGATATATGTGGGAAGAGCATCCCTCTGTTTTTCAGCAGAAGCATGAAAAGTTGGGCATTTTGTAGCGATGATTCCGCCAGAGCAAAAAAGCAATCTTTCATCTCTCTTTCCCTCAGTTACTCTGCTGTACAAAAGGTTTGGCAAGACTCAAGCAAACAAGGCCCCCTGTACTGTAATTGCTCCCCCTGGTCCAAGCAGGTGTGGCTTGTAGGTCTGGTTCTACTATTGTTGGATAGATCCTGGTTCCTCCTGCAAGTTTTTAACTTCTCACGGCTAAGCACTGTCAACGTATTTCATTTTTTGTTACATTTTTCCTATTTAGTATTTACTTTGTGTTTGGAACGCTGTGGACACTCAATCTGGGAAAAAGAGGAGAGCCAAGACAGGGCTACCAGTGAGTGCCAAAATCTGTGCTTCTGTGTAATTGTTCCTGCTGCCTGTTGCTTAAATAAAATAAGCAACAAGAAGACATCAGAGATACAGAAACAATATTTACAGGTAAAAAATGTTCTTCTGGATGGTTTTTTACTTTTGTTTTAAATTCTGTTCCCACAAGCCCTGCCAGATCATTTGTACTTGCCCATTTTACTTTTATTTAACTCATTCTTCTACTTTAATGGGTCTATCCATGCTCTGAATTTGGGTCTCTGATCATTCTGTATTAGTCACGTCAGTCTTTTTACCCATCCCAGACCTGTGCCCTCTCTTTGGATTTCTTGCAACTGACCATTTTTGTTGGTGGGTTTTTTTAATGTAATGTCTGGGGGTGTGGCGGAATATGTGTATTTTACTTGCTTTTGGCCTGTTTTTTTTTCCTTTTGTTTTGTTTTTTTCAGACTTGCTGAGCATGTACAACTCTTAGGTCTCAAACCTACCAGCTACTGAGCACTCTGTCCCTGATCTAGCAAAGTACATGGCTGCAATGGGACTCCTTGCACGCTTAATATTAAGAGATTTGCCAAGTCAGGCCAGAGAGCCCAGCACCTGCAGGGTGGAGCCCCCATTTTGCTGCACATTATGGGTGAACAGCATTTCTTAAAAGCAGGCCAGCTTTATATTTGCTATGCCACTAGTTGTTTTGGTGGAGGAAAAACTATGAAATTTGAAAACTTTTTTGTGAACTAACTTTTGTTTAAAGTATGAAGTTATTTTTGAGTAACCCCACATTCCTTTGGGATGCAAAGCCCAGCTTGTTAGTCCCAGGTTCCTACAAAACAACTTTATCCTTGTTGGTGCTGAAGGAATGGTCCTTGATGTAGTAGAACGCGTTGTTGGCAGTTATGTCTTGGAAGCTCAGTGTTGTTTCCATTCTAGACCTCCTGGTGAGTGCAGAGAAATATAGGAGATTACATGTGCAAACTTGCAAAGCAAGGCTCTGCATTAAACCTGTCCTGTGGAAAAACGGCCTGATGTTTTCCAATGTTGCATGAATCTTCAACAGTTTACAAATGTGTTCCAACACTGAAAGATGAAATCTACAAGCTATTTTTTGTGTGTGTGAGCGTGCTAAACTTGCCACAAATTCCTGTTTCTCTGTGTTTGACGTTTAAGTTAACTCTCTGTGAAGCTTTCTTATATAAAGCCTAGGAGGAAAGATTGTAGGTATAAATCTGCAAAAGTTTACAGCATTCACTGATAATGGACCGATAGTTTATTTTACAGTAAAGTGATCTCTTTAGGGTGTATTGCTAACTTGTTGTCCTGTTTTTATTGATTTAGTATTCAGGAAAAAAACTAAAGAGTATTGGCAGTCACTGAGAGATTGGCATGATGTTCCTTTTCAATATTTTGCTCACTTTTTGTTTGCTGGAGCTAAATAAGGCCCTAATCCTGCAAGTATTTATGCATATGAATAATTTTACATACATGAGTAATCACTTGAGTTCAGTGGAATTACTCCCTTGTATAAAGTTAGTCAGGTCCATAAGAATTTGAAGGATTGGGGCCTAGAGTTCAGCTTTAAGATTTATTCTAGTCACAGGTTATTAATATAAAATACTACTAGCATAGTCTGACTTTTTAAATAACCACAAATGCACACCTTGTCTTAAAGTTTCAGGTATACTTATAGGAAAAAATATCATAAGTATTAACTATTTAGAATTAAAAAAAACTCCTGCATATTAATCTGTGTTGAGACATTTAAAATTGTCTTTAATTAAGATTGGTTTTTGTGTCTCATAATTGGAGTTTGTTTAGGTATTAGATTTTTCTTCTTTGTGTTTTGATGTGTTACTGTGTGAAATGACAGCAGGATTTGTTGAGTATGTAGGCCACTATTGTATTAGAATTACATAACATTGTTGAGTGGTGGAAACTGATGAAAAGACTGGGATGCACAGAGTCCCCTAACAGATGATATACCCTGCAACAATGAAGACAGCTCAAGCTCTACAGAGAATGTGGGCACATGCAGTGCAAAAGTTGAGGATTTTAAAAGGGCACGTGAGTTGTTTTTACATTATATCTTGTTATAAGCCCTCCCTCAACTTTCATACCCAGGTATTTATTTTTTATTTTTTAAAGTGTGTGTTTGGTAACTCAGTAATAAGAAATTGTATAAATAGGTGATAATTATCCGCGAGGGTTGTGTGTTCTGTACACAGTGTAATTTTTATTCTAGCAAACTGTTATTCAAAATTTCCACCGCTGAATAGTTTTGTAATCAAGGGGCTACTGATCCATCTATTCTAGCTATTAATAAGGCATCTGTCACCTTGGTATCTGAGCACCATGAATATTTAAACAAATCCTGATAGTGATATTTTAATTAGAAGTATTGTACTGGCTGAAGTCACTATTAATTCATATTGGTTAATTATAGTAAGTTTCATTTATATAGAAAACACCACAGTTCTAGTTGAAGGAAAACCTGAAGGAAAACTCGCCAAATAGTTACTTTTAGTAATTTGATAAATAAATAGGATTCATTTCTTTTGCTTGTGCCTCTTGTCAGCAGTTCTTTCTCTGTGTGTGGGTAATGCAGTAACCATTGTGTTCCTGTGAGACTTTTTAAAAGAAACAAAAAACATAGTCTCCCTTTGCATTTCTTTACAGCTAGCCAATGACATGAAAAAGTCTCAAAGATAAAAGGTGCTTTTCTCTTGGTGCATTTGGAGTGGAGACCCATCTTCTGCCTTAGGATAATGATTTCTAACAAAACAGGAATTTTGTTCTTGTGATAGAGGGTTAAATCCTAGTTCTGATACAGTCAGAGCTCCTCAGCTAGTGATTTATAACATTCGTAGTCTTTCCCTCCCTCTCATTCTCCTTCTTTCCATTAATCTGTCAGTATTGGTTAGCATCTCAGCACTGGCAAGCAGCAGTACATTTTATAATGTTCAAGAGATTATTAGTTGGAGATTTAGGGCAGTGCAGATGTTTTCAGGGCTTGATAGACTACCAAGGATGACCATTCAATACTGTGCATTATATAGCTTGTGTAATTTTATCAGTATGTCAAGAACTAATTCTCCTATCTTGGTAATAGATTTTTTTTTCCCCCTTAATTTCTTTTCATGACCAGCTAACATATTTCTAAGGGCTGGTCTACGGACGGGGGGGGGGGGGGGGGGTCGATCCAAGACACGCAACTTCAGCTACGTGAATAGCGTAGCTGAAGTCGAAGTATCTTGGATCGAATTACCTGGGGTCCACACGGCGAGGGATCGACAGCCGCGGCTCCCCCGTCATCTGCGCTACTGCCGCTCGCTCTGGTGGAGTTCCGGAGTCGACGGTGAGCACGTTCGGGGATCGATATATCACGTCTTAACGAGACGTGATATATCGATCCCGGATAAATCGATTGCTACCCACTGCTACGGCGGGTAGTGAAGACGTACCCAAAGCATGACTGTCCTTTTCCACTGACACTGATCTGCTCAGGCTCCACTGCTGGCAGTCTACCAGATAGCTGTGAAGAAACCTCGCTGCTGGGTGTTCAGCCTCCAGAGTCTGAACAAAGTCCAGCCACAGTCTCAAGGTGCAGATCCCGTCTAGCACCCTGTCCTGACAGCTGTGACCATGTGGTCCCCAGCCCAGACCCCGGAACCAGTGCTAGCCCCTCCGAATACTGCTGTATCTTTACACACCTTCTCCCAGCATTCTTCCCAAAGTTTACATCTTCAAGGGGCCACATGGTGGGTATAGCATATAACACAGACACTTTGCCCAGAAATCTATCACAGAATTGCTCTTTATTAAATCACGAGACATGTACAGATCTGTTAAAAATAATAATAATTAATAATAAACCCTACGTGCATTTCCCTGCCTCTGTTTCCTCATCACTCTAGAGCATTCTTTGGGCTCGGCTCAGGGTTCGTTCAGAGTCCTTGTGTTGTCATGCATGGCTTGTGTTCTGAAACATGGAGCCTTCTCCCTAGGTCAGCTTGCTTCCTCTGACCTTGGCTAGTCTATTCCTTTCCTCACCATCACTGGACACCTTAATATGCCCAGGGCCGGCCTCAGAATCTTAAGGGGAGGGACAGTAAGACTGTTTGAAATATACACCAAATTTAACTGACTCATTTTACACTAAAAATGTTTTGGCTGTTTGGTGGGAGGAGTCCTTTCAAATTTTACCACTACTAGCCCACAGCCTGTTGCTGCAGAAATTGAGCCCAGCTGCTTGTCCTTCCAATTTTAGAGATCACTTGATATCTGCTCACATTTTTAAGGCTCTCTTCAAGGGAAACTGCTAGATGGAAATGACAGCTGAGATCCCCTGCCCCCAAGCCAGTGCTGCATATAGTTTAAAAAACAAACTAGAAAAGCAGAACAGAAGATGCATCAGTTCCCAAGGATTTTTTTCTGTGCAGGATTCTCCCACATGTTGGAATAAGGTAGAGAGAGACAACAAAGTAGCAACTAGCAGCAGCAATTTAACTGTCTAGTTCTACTGGCCAGCTGGTGACATAGGAATAGCTGGAAGCACCATTATTTGATAGATGATGATTTCACTGACCATGTGTTTCAGCAAGTAGGTTAATCTACTCAACCCAGGGCAAGAATGCTTTAATAGTAATGATTTTAACTCCGTAACTCTTTCTCTGTCTGTCTCTGTCATTGTCTCTCTGTCACTAGGCTAGATGAGAAGACAGATATTTAAAAATATTTATTTCTATAGGTTTTAACACTAGCTCCTCTCCTCCATAAAATCTCTTCTTTGACTTTTATAGTGTATTTTTGCTAGCTGTAGTTCTAGATCTTGATTTGTAGGATCTGCTAACTTCTGAATTAGAAAACTTAGATTATCTATCCATTTTTAGAAAGACAGTATTGGTGCATTATTAATATAAATATGCTTGTATTGGTGTATGCTAAGACGTATTTCTGTATTATAAACTGTTTGGGTGTTCCTTAAATAATGTTTGGAGCAGGAACTATAAGCTTTTTTCATCCAGTGACCCCATAGCAAAACATGACCACTTAGTCCCCTTCAGGTGTACCCAGCATCAGCTGTGTGGATTCTTTTCCTGTGACACTTCATGGGGTCTTTGACCATCCAAGAGAACAGAAACAACTGTGTGCTTAATGGTCTGCTTTTGCAATAAAACAACTGTACTGGAAAAATTGGGTACACTTCAAAATAGTTAATTAAGATGGGGATAGTCTAATAGAGGTGGACTTATTGTAGTTAACTGTACTTCTAAAAACACTACACTTACATACTTCCTTCCTTCAGTTCTACCCCTTTCTTGATTAGTTGTCAAAGCTGGTCAAAGTTCTATTTAAATTATTTTTCTATGGAAACTGGGTTTTGTGTAACGGAATTTTTGGCAATTTTTGCTTTCCATGAAACATTCTACTTTCAGTCGAAAAACTGAAGTGAACATCTTTTTTGTTCATAAACAGAAAATTTCCATTCAGAAATGCTACTTTGGTGCCCCACGGGATTGGTAGTTTGGGTACCTCATGCTCCCATTTTTCTCTGTGGGCCAGAGATTACATCTCCTCTGTGCGCAGCAGCCATGTGATTCCTGTGATGCACCACAGCGTCTCAGCAAGAAGGGGAACCGTGGTGCATCTTGGGAGATGTAATCCAGCCAAGTCTGTTACCCTGGCTGTCTAACATCAGTGCTGAGTTTTTCTTATTTTCTTAGGTTTGGATGCTTTTTTTTCCTTCCTAAAACTTATTGCTGCTAAATTAGCATCTCGGGGAGGGGGTTTCCACTTGTAAATACTCTTTTTAGCACTGGAATCTTATTAACTATGATGTAGAATTCAAAAGTCAGATTTCCAGTCATTGATTAGAAATGTATTCTAAATTGCCCTTGGTCTTGAATTTGCAATATTTTGTCCATTTTCAGAATCCAGACAGTCAATGGCAATATGTTATGATTTTATTTTGTATTGGCCCAGGGAATGTTCACTGCACAGGGTGTTACCAGAGTGTATCTACGTACGTATGTGGGTGCACACACAAAGGTGTGCGTATACATATAACCTGCTAAATTCTAATATATATTCCCTCTCCAATTTTTTTCGGTTAGTCTCATTGTCATTTGACATAAAAACAAATGTGTTCTGTAGCCGACACCATCGAATACTTTAAATAGTTGTTTCAACAGTTTCTGAAATGGGATCTTCCAGATTTTATTTTGGGGTAGTTATTTGTTTATGTTGCTTGTTGGTTAATTGCTTTTTGGTTTTTGTGTAACAGGCCCCAGGCATGGAAGAGCTGATATGGGAACAGTACACTGTGACCTTACAAAAGGTGAGAGCTTGTGTTTATATTTTTAGTTTTCAAATGCTCTATTGCTGCTTTTATTTTAAACGTGTGCTACTACAATTTTTATTAACCTATTTGTAGCTGAAATTTGGTTATTTTTGCTGTCCAAAATGGATATTGCTCATCTTGAGGTTTTTTCAGTGCTGGGTAATCACAAAATTCTCATGATTTTTTTAAATCTATTTTGAAAAGACTCCGTTAAAATTCCATCTTTATTACTGTTCAGTTTTGAGTAGTGATGGTCTAAATGCAATATGTACCAGCCAAATAGATAAATATGTAATTGACTAACATAATACAAAAACAGGATAACTCTGTTAGCAGATACAGTTACCAGGAGTACTTCATAATCTCAGATGTGGAGCTGCATTGCAAATACATTGAGAAATCAATGGAAAATGTATACCATTATACTGAAGAGTAGAATCTGATGTAAAAATTATTGTAATCGTGATTAAGGCTGCAATTCTGTCACAGAGGTCATGGAAGTCACGGATTCCATGACTTTCCGTGACCTCCATGACTTCTGCAGCTGCAATGGCCGATGCGGCTGACCCTGGGAAGCGCTCAAGCACCAGCAGTCCTGGGGGCAGCCGGAGCAGCAGCCCCGGGGATCGCCCGAGCATCAGTCCCAGGGGCGGCCCTGGGGATTGCCCAAGCAGCAGTGGCCCCAGGAGTGGCTGGGGCTGTGGCCCCAGAGGCTGCCAGGAGAGCAGTCCCCAGGGGCCTCAGAGCAGCGGGCCACCAGAGGCAGTCAGCCCCTACCTCTGGAGCAGTGGGGCCCAGGAGCAGAGATTTAGTAATGGGTATTTATAGTAAAAGTCATGGACAGGGCATGACTGTGAATTTTTGTTTATTGCCTGTGACCTGTCCATGACCTTTACTAAAAATACCCATGACTAAATCTTAGTCTTAATCATAATTATCAAATGCATGTGCTGCTATTACATGAGAGAATAGTACAACATGTACAACTCTCATTTTTCCTCTATTAAAGGCAATGTCAGATATTTCTATCTTTTGAAAACAAATTTTATTTCTGTACATTTTGGGGGATTACAAGGATGTTCTACACACTTTTGCATTGCCTGGATATTCCAGGCCCCGGAGCAAAATAGAGCAGTTCCGATGATGTTCTCTCTCTGTCCTGCCTGACTCTGGCCCCCATAGGCCATTTGGATGGCCAGGGATCAGCTAAAGGTTGCAGCTTACTTATCCTACAATTTATTGCCTGCTCTACTCAAATGAGGGAGAGGTCCTACAGACAACAGCCTCCTTCACAACACAACTCCTAATTCATTCACAGAGCATCATCCCTCCTGTGCCCTGAATAAGGCAAGAGTCTACAAAAATAGCATGTTATCTTGTAATTAAAGATTGTATCATAATACATACACATAAGGGGGGCAAAAATAAGGTTGCACAGGCAGCCTTAATTCTGATTTCCTAAATTTTGAGTGGTTGGCTTTGCAACCTTAATGTTCTTTTAATGTAATTTTCTGGGGAAATAATGCATCTTACATGCAGTGACCTGCTAGTGTTCATTATCTGCTACAGAAGATGGAGCACACATCTGTATGGCCCCACAAAGGGAGTGCGTGTAACTTTTCATGTCTTGGAGTTGTAAAGGCAGATTTAAAATCCAGAGGACATTCCCAACCAGATCACCGGTGGTTTCAGTTCTGAAGGGCGGGTGTGTAATGCACATAGACAGATTGGCAATGACTTTAGCCTCATTCATGAAGAGGCAGAATAAATTACTCATCTAAATTATTCTTTTCCATGAATATAAATGTAATAATTTTGTGCTAATTATTACAAATGCAAAACCACTTCAAAAACCCACTCTTAAATACAATAGTTAAATTCAGTCAAGAAATGCAAAAGTTGGGGATTGGACAGAAATGTTTACTTGGATACACTTCACATCCTATGTGCCTTTGATGGTACACAGTACATTTACACTTTGTTATATCCACACTAAAGTACACATTTAACTGGAAAAACAAGACTAGAAAATACTGTAACACGCAACATGGTTTAGTTAACATTGTTCCCTTGCATTCCCTGATTTGATGATTGAGTTACTATGCAATCTTAAATTTGCATTTAGCAAAATAAATAAATAAATACATAAATGCAAAGGGCCTGATTCTCAGCTTGTGTAAATCAACACAGCTCCATTGGGCCAAGTTGTCAGTTTATACCATCTAAGGGTACGTCTATACCCAGCCGCTAGTTCGGCGGCTGGCAATCGAACTTCTGGGTTCGACTTATCGCGTCTTGTCTGGACGCGATAAGTCGAACCCAGAAGTGCTCGCCGTCGACTGCGGTACTCCAGCTCGGCGAGAGGAGTACCGTGGAGTCGACGGGGGAGCCTGCCTG